GGTAGTCACCTATAATGCATTTCAATTAATAGGTGTGCTTTCTTAAAAGTTAATTTGTGGAATTTCTTTCCTTAATGCATTTGAACCAATCAGCTGTGTTGTGACAAAGTAGCCCCTCTATACAGAAGATAGACCTATTTGGTAAAAGACCAAGTCCATATTATGGCAAGAAGAGCTCAAATAAGCAAAGACCAATGACAGTCCATCATGACTTTAAGACATGAAGGTCAGTCAATACGGAGCATTTCAAGAACTTTGAACGTTTCTTAAAGTGCAGTCGCAAAAACCATCAAGCGCTATGATGTAACTGGCTCTCATGAGGACTGCCACAGGAATGGAAGACCCAGAGTTACCTCTCCTGCAGAGGATAAATTCATTAGAGTTATCAGCCTCAGAAATTACAGCCTAAATAAATGCTTCACAGAGTTCAAGTAAAGACACATCTCAACATCAACTGTTCAGAGGAGACTGTGTGAATCAGGCCTTCATGGTTGAATTGCTGCAAAGAAAACACTACTAAAGGACACCAATAAGAAGAAGAGACTTGCTTGGGCCAAGAAACACGAGCAATGGACATTAGACCGGTGGAAATGTGTCCTTTGGTCTGGAGTCCAAATTGGAGATTTTTGCTTCCAACCGCTGTGTCTTTGTGAGACGCGGTGTGGGTGAACAGATGATCTCCGCATGTGTATTTCCCACCGAAAAGCAGGGAGGAGGAGGTGTTATGGTGTGGGGGTGCTTTGCTGGTGACACTGTCTGTGATTTATTTAGAATTCAAAGCACACTTAACCAGCATGGCTACCACAGCATTCTGCAGCGATACGCCATTCCATCTGGTTTGGGCTTAGTGGGACTATCATTTGTTTTTCAACAGGAAAATGACCCAACACACCTCCAGGCTGTGTAAGGGCTATTTTACCAAGAAGGAGAGTAATTGAGTGCTGCATCAGATGACCTGGCCTCCACAAACCCCCGACCTCAACCAAATTGAGATGGTTTGGGATGAGTCGGACCGCAGAGTGAAGATTTTCAGCATATGTGGGAACTCCTTCAAGACTGTTGGAAAAGCATTCCAGGTGAAGCTGGTTAAGAGAATGCCAAGAGTGGGCAAAGCGTGGCTATTTGAAGAATCTCAAATATAAAATATATTTTGATTTGTTAAACCACTTTTTTGGTTACTACGTGATTCCATATGTGCTATTTCGTAGTTTTGATGTCTTCACTATTATTCTACAATGTAGAAAATAGTAAAAATTAAGAAAAACCCTTGAATGAGTAGGTGTCCAAACTTTTGACCGGTATTTTGTGACCTAAAACAGGGAATTCTTACTAGGATTAAATGTCAGGAATTGTGAAAAACTGAGTTTAAATGTATTTGGCTAAGGTGTATGTAAACTTCCGACTTCAACTGTAATATATATATATATATATATATATATATACACACACACACACACACACACACACACACACACACACACACACACACACACACACACACACACACAGTGGGGAAAAAAGTATTTAGTCAGCCACCAATTGTGCAAGTTCTCCCACTTAAAAAGATGAGAGGCCTGCAATTTTCATCATAGGTACACGTCAACTATGACAGACAAATTGAGATTTTTTTTCTCCAGAAAATCACATTGTAGGATTTTTAATGAATTTATTTGCAAATTATGGTGGAAAATAAGTATTTGGTCACCTACAAACAAGCAAGATTTCTGGCTCTCACAGACCTGTAACTTCTTCTTTAAGAGGCTCCTCTGTCCTCCACTCGTTACCTGTATTAATGGCACCTGTTTGAACTTGTTATCAGTATAAAAGACACCTGTCCACAACCTCAAACAGTTACACTCCAAACTCCACTATGGCCAAGACCAAAGAGCTGTCAAAGGACACCAGAAACTAAATTGTAGACCTGCACCAGGCTGGGAAGACTGAATCTGCAATAGGTAAGCAGCTTGGTTTGACGAAATCAACTGTGGGAGCAATTATTAGGAAATGGAAGACATACAAGACCACTGATAATCTCCCTCGATCTGGGGCTCCACGCAAGATCTCACCCCGTGGGGTCAAAATGATCACAAGAACGGTGAGCAAAAATCCCAGAACCACACGGGGGGACCTAGTGAATGACCTGCAGAGAGCTGGGACCAATGTAACAAAGCCTACCATCAGTAACACACTACGCCGCCAGGGACTCAAATCCTGCAGTGCCAGACGTGTCCCCCTGCTTAAGCCAGTACATGTCCAAGCCCGTCTGAAGTTTGCTAGAGTGCATTTGGATGATCCAGAAGAGGATTGGGAGAATGTCATATGGTCAGATGAAACCAAAATAGAACTTTTTGGTCAAAACTCAACTCGTCTTGTTTGGAGGACAAAGAATGCTGAGTTGCATCCAAAGAACACCATACCTACTGTGAAGCATGGGGGTGGAAACATCATGCTTTGGGGCTGTTTTTCTGCAAAGGGACCAGGACGACTGATCCGTGTAAAGGAAAGAATGAATGGGGCCATGTATCGTGAGATTTTGAGTGAAAACCTCCTTCCATCAGCAAGGGCATTGAAGATGAAACGTGGCTGGGTCCTTCAGCATGACAATGAGCCCAAACACACCGCCCGGGCAATGAAGGAGTGGCTTCGTAAGAAGCATTTCAAGGTCCTGGAGTGGCCTAGCCAGTCTCCAGATCTCAACCCCATAGAACATCTTTGGAGGGAGTTGAAAGTCTGTGTTGCCCAGCGACAGCCCCAAAACATCACTGCTCTAGAGGAGATCTGCATGGAGGAATGGGCCAAAATACCAGCAACAGTGTGTGAAAACCTTGTGAAGACTTACAGAAAACGTTTGACCTGTGTCATTGCCAACAAAGGGTATATAACAAAGTATTGATAAACTTTTGTTATTGACCAAATACTTATTTTCCACCATAATTTGCAAATAATTCATTAAAAATCCTACAATGTGATTTTCTGGATTTTTTTTCTTCTCATTTTGTCTGTCATAGTTGACGTGTACCTATGATGAAAATTACAGGCCTCTCATCTTTTTAAGTGGGAGAACTTGCACAATTGGTGGCTGACTAAACTTTTTTTCCCCACTGTGTGTGTGTGTGTATGTATATGTGTATATATATATATATAGAGATATTACAGTTGAAGTTTGAAGTTTACATACACCTTAGCCAAATACATTTAAACTCAGTTTTTCACAAATATTCCCTGTTTTAGGTCAGTTAGGATCAACACTTTATTTTAAGAATGTGAAATGTCAGAATAATAGTAGAGTGATTTATTTCAGCTTTTATTTCTTTCATCACATTCCCAGTGGGTCAGAGGTTTACATACACTCAATTAGTATTTGGTAGCATTGCCTTTAAATTGTTTAACTTAGGTCAAATGTTTCGGGTAGCCTTCCACAAGCTTCCCACAATAAGTTGGGTGAATTTTGGCCCATTCCTCCTGACAGAGCTGGTGTAACTGAGTCAGGTTTGTAGGCCTCCTTGCTTGCACAAGCTTGTTCAGTTCTGGCCACACATTTTCTATAGAATTGAGGTCAGGGCTTTGTAATGGCCACTACAATACCTTGACTTTGTTGTCCTTAAACCATTTTGCCACAACTTTGTAAATAATATAATAATATGCCATTTAGCAGACGCTTTTATCCAAAGCGACTTACAGTAATGCGTGTTCATTTTTGTGTATGGGTGGTCCCGGGGATCGAACCCACTACCTTGGCGTTACAAGCGGCGTGCTCTACCAGCTGAGCTACAGAGGACTTGGGGTGCTTGGGGTCATTGTCCATTTGGAAGACCCATTTGCGACCAAGCTTTAACTTCCTGACTGATGTCTTGAGATGTTGCTTCAATATATTGACATAATTTTTCTTCCACATGATGCCATCTGTTTTGTGAAGTGCACCAGTCCCTCCTGCAGCAAAGCACCCCCACAGCATGATGCTGCCACCCCTGTGCTTCACGGTTGGGATGGTGTTCTTCTGCTTGCAAGCGACCCTTTTTTTCCTCCTAACATAACGATGGTCATTATGGCCAAACAGTTCTATTTTTGTTTCATCAGACCAGAAGATATTTCTCCAAAAAGTACGATCTTTGTCCCCATGTGCAGTTGCAAACTGTAGTCTGGCTTTTTATGGCTGTTTTGGAGCAGTGGCTTCTTCCTTGCTGAGCGGCTTTTCAGGTTATGTCGATATAGGACTCGTTTTGGATATAGATACTTTTGTACCTTTTTCCTCCAGCATCTTCACAAGGTAATTTGCTGTTGTTCTGGGATTGATTTGCACTTTTCGCACCAAAGTACGTTCATCTCTAGGAGACAGAACGCGTCTCCATCCTGAGCGGTATGACGGCTGCGTGGTCCCATGGTGTTTATACTTGCATACTATTGTTTGTACAGATTAACGTGGTACCTTCAGGCGTTTGGAAATTGCTCCCAAGGATGAAGCAGACTTGTGGAGGTCTACAAATTTTTTTCTGAGGTCTTGGCCTATTTCTTTTCATTTTCCAATGATGTCAAGCAAAGAGGCACTGCGTTTGAAGGTAGGCCTTGAAATACATCCACAGGTACACCTCCAATTGACTCAAATGATGTAAATTAGCCTATCAGAAGCTTCTAAAGCCATGACATCATTTTCTGGAATTTTCCAAGCTGTTTAAAGGCACAGTCAACTTAGTGTATGTAAACTTCTGACCCACTGGAATTGTAATACAGTGAATTATAAGTGAAATAATCTGTCTGTAAACAATTGTTGGAAAACTTACTTGTGTCATGCACAATGTAGATGTCCTAACCGACTTGCCAAAACTATAGTTTGTTAACAAGAAATGCGTGGAGTGGTTAAAAAACGAGTTTTAATGACTCCAACCTAAGTTTATGTAAACTTCTGACTTCAACTGTGTATATATAATCTCCTTCTGATCTACAGAACACTCTTCCCTCTCTCCATTTTTCATTCACTCACACACACATTCTGTCTCCCTCAGGTTGGGGTACACCTATCTGAGACTCAAAGACAGTCATATGGAAATTCTCAATAAGGACGATGAGATTGAAAGGTAGGGCTTTGCTCAGAACATAATTCCTGATTGATCCATCTTTTATTTTGGCCTTTCATATTTCACAGCTTCCTGTGAAACCATAGAGTATTCATGTTTAAGTTACGCATGCATATCTCAAGTTATTAATTGATTCCAAATAATTTAATAAGTTCATTCTGACCATATTTCTGCCCATTGGCAAACCGTACGTGCTTTGGTTTATGTGAAGGATGTCAGTAAACATTTTAGCAAAAATACAACTTCCTTATAGTAAGACAACACTGCCAAGAAAAATGGTATAAATAGCAGGTTTGGATCCCACAGGCACCACTTGTAAAACATCAGTATCTACATCCCTCTCTGCAGTGGGCTGTCTATGCAACTGAAGTTTTAAGAGCGAACGAATGAGGAAGAAAGGGAGGGAGATAAACAGGGAAGTAAACAGAGAGGAAGAGAAAAGGGAAGGAAAGAGGAGGATGATTAATCTGTTAAAATAACTTTTAATCTGACTGTTCTGTCTTTGCTTGTAACAGTCTTTGCTTGTCTCTAGCCACTCTTATTGCTGTGTACATTGTTAGAGAATGTCCAGTGTGTTATGTCTGATACTAAGGGAGTCGTCTCCTCCTGTGTCTGTGTTCCAGGTTTGAGCTGCTTCACGTGCTCAACTTTGACTCTGTCAGGAGGAGAATGAGCGTCATTGTCAAGTCTAGCGCAGGTAACACTCATACACACACTATCTCGTTCACATAATACTAAATAGAAACTAACAGACATTCAGATACATACAATATGTATTCAATTAAATCTATGTGTGTTTGTGTGTCCTCAGGGGAGTACCTGTTGTTCTGTAAGGGGGCAGACAGCTCCATCTTTCCCAGGGTGGTGTCAGGGAAGGTGGAGCAGGTGAGGGCACGGGTGGAGCAGAACGCTGTGGTAAGTCTACACACACACACACACTCTGTATCATCTCTTTCTTTGAAGAAAAATATAAACGCAACATGTAAAGTGTTGGTCCCATGTTTCATGAGCTGAAATACACTTGACAGATGTGTCAAGTTTTGAGGGAGTGTGCAATTGGCATGCTGACTGCAGGAATGTCCACCAGAGCTGTTGCCAGATCATTTAATGTTCATTTCTCTACCATAAGCTGCCTCCAATGTCGTTTTAGAGAATTTGGCAGTACGTCCAACCGGCCTCACAACTGCAGGCCACGTGAAACTACGCCAGCCCAGGACCTCCACATCCGGCTTCTTCATCCAGCAACCCGGACAGGTGACGAAACTGTAGTATTTCTGCACAAACTGTCAGAAACCGTCTCAGGGAAGCTCATCTGCGTGCTCGTCGTCCTCACCAGGGTCTTGACTTGACTGCAGTTCGGTGTCGTAACCGACTTCAGTGGGCAAATGCTCACCTTCGATGGCCACTGGAACGCTGGAGATGTGTGCCCTTCACAGATAAATCCCGGTTTCAACTGTACCGGGCAGTGTATGGTGTCGTGTGGGCGAGCGGTTTGCTTATGTCAATGTTGTGAACAGAGTGCCCCATAGTGGCGGTGGGGTTATGGTATGGGCAGGCATAAGCTACGGACAACGAACACAATTGCATTTTATCTATGGTCATTTCAATGCAGAAATACCGTGACAAAATCCTGAGGCCCATTGTTGTGCCATTCATCTGCCGTCATCACCTCGGCAGATGTTTCAGCATGATAATGCACAGCCCCATGTCGCAAGGATCTGTACACAATTCCTGGAAGCTGGAAATGTCCCAGTTCTTCCATGGCCTGCATACTCACCAGACATGTCACCCATTGAGCATGTTTGGGATGCTCTGGATCGACGCGTACGACAGCGTGTTCCAGTTCCCACCAATGTCCAGCATCTTCCCACAGCCATTGAAGAGGAGTGGGACAACATTCCACAGGCCACAATCAACAGCCTGATCAATTCTATGCGACGGAGATGTGTCGCACTGCATGAGGCAAATGGAGATCACGGCAGATACTGACTGGTTTTCTGATCCACGCCCCTACCTTTATCTTTAATGTATCTGTGACCAACCGATGCATATCTGTATTCCAAATCATGTGAAATCCATAGATTGGAGCCTAATGAATTTATTTCAATTTACTGATTTCCTTATATGAACTGTAACTCAGTAAAATCTTTGAAATTGTTGCATTTTGCGTTTTATATTTTTGTTCAGTGTAGATACAGACACCAAAACCCTTAATCGCGCAACTTCGCCCTAATACTTCTACTCCTAATATGCCTATACCATAACCAAAACTCCAGATATATATCTTGAGTCTCACAACCCTGAACGATATACCTGCTATGGTCATAGTACTGTGGCTACTATGATCTTAAAGGGGCAATCCGCTGTTGAGCTGAGGAATGGGGCTGGAGAAATGTAACCACTCTCAAATTCATAGACCGCTATGGATGCACTATTTAAATTCATAGACCGCAATGGATGCAAGGACTGACCATCCATGATATCAAAAGTATAGTTTTAACCATGTTTTGTGGCTATACAGTGTGTGTTTACATTTACTTTGTTTACAAACATTGGAGTAAAACAAGCTTATATTTTGTGTTCTGATGGGGTACGACAGTTGAACTTAGCTCATGAGGCATTTATAAGCAGTGGTGGAAAAAGTACCCAATTTGTCATACTTGAGTAAAAGTAAAGATACCTTAATAGAAAATGACAAGTAAAAGTGAAAGTCACCCAGTAAATTATGACTTGAGTAAAAGTCCAAAAGTATTTGGTTTTAAATATACTAGAGTATCAAAAGTAAAAGTATAAATCATTTAAAATTCCTTATTAAGCAAACCAGACGGCACCATTATCTTCTTTTTTTTTTTTTTACTGACAGCCAGGGGCACACTCCAACACTCAGACATCATTTACAAACGAAGCATGTGTGTTTAGTGAGTCGGCCAGATCAGAGGCAGTAGGGATGACCATGGATGTTCTCTTGATAAGTGTGTGAATTGGACCATTTCCCTGTCCTGCTAAGCATTCAAAATGTAATGAGTACTTTTGGGTGTCAGGGAAAATGTATGGAGTAAAAAGTCCATTATTTTCTTTCGGAATATAGTGAAGTAAAAGTTGTCAAAAATATAAATAGTAAAGGACAGTACAGATACCCAAAAAACAACTTAAGTAGTACTTTAAAGTATTTTTACTTAAGTACTTTACACCACTGTTTATATATAAGTTTAATGTTGTTCAATAATAAGTCCAAAAATGGATGTAGCAACTGCAGATCGTCCCCTTTAACAGACAACCTTAACCATAATCTCTTTCACTCAACTGAGTCTCTCCTTTACCTCTGTAAGGAGGGCTTGCGGACCCTGTGTGTGGCCTACAGGAGTCTGTCCCCAGCGGAGTACAAGGAAGCATGTTATCAGCTGAGCAACGCCAAGCTGGCACTGCAGGACAGGGAGCAACGGCTGGCACAGGCTTATGACCTCATCGAGAGGAACTTCACCCTGCTGGGGGCTACGGCTGTGGAGGACAGGTAGGAGAGAAAGGGGAGGCAGAGGGGGGATTGGCGAGAGGAGGCGGCGTGAGAGAGAGGAGGGGGAAGGAGCAAGAGGAAGATGGGAAGGAGGAGTTGGGGAGAAAAAGAGCGCGAGAGAGAGGAGAGGAAATGGGATGGAGATGGAGATTCAGGGAGAAACAGCGGTAGGGATGAGAGAAAGGGAGCCAGTAAAGGAGGAAGTGAGAGAGAGATGTAAGGGAGATTTACTATCATGGATTCCCTGATTGATGACAGCTTGTTTTCTAATCATCTAGCCCTCTGATGTATGGTACACATTGACCTGGCCATGTATATTAGTCATCAATAACTGGACTGAGTTGATCAGTGTGTTAACCCATCAGCTGCTGGCTGAGGAGACTTATTGACTACAGTAGTTATCAATGACCACAAAGGAAATACTCTTAACTCTTCCTCGGCCTTGATTGTTTTTACAATGGTGTAGAATCAATGTACTAATTTAATCAGGATTTAGTCAATCTTGAATTTATAAAGTTATACGTTATATTTTTAAATAATCAATATAAAACGAATAGGTTGTTGATCAATAATGTCATCATTTCTATCTTGCACTTGCATACTTTGAAACGTCCATACAGCCTATTGTGACGTGTAATGCTAACAACCTATTGACTGCTGTGCAGGCTCCAGGAGAAGGCAGCAGACACCATTGAGTCTCTCCATAAGGCTGGGATGAAGGTGTGGGTGCTGACGGGGGACAAGATGGAGACGGCGGCGGCTACGTGCTACGCTAGCAAGCTGTTCCGCAGCTCCACACAGATACTGGAGCTGACCAAGAAACGCACAGAGGAACAGAGTCTACATGACGTTCTGTTTGACCTGAGCAGGACTGTACTCGGACAACGCTCCCTGTCAGGGTAGGCTACACACACACACACACACACACACACACACATGCATGTAGACATGCATGCACTCACACACAACAATGTACATGTTTTGTGTTCCTATGTTTCGTGTGTGTGTTTGTGTATATGTACAGTATGTGTGTATCACTGTGTGTTATTTCCCCAGGCTGTCTGTGGACTGTCAGGACTATGGTCTGATCATCGACGGGGCCACCCTGTCTGCTGTGCTGAAGCCCAGTCCAGAGAGCTCTGGCTCGGGGAACTACAGAGAGATCTTCCTGGAGATCTGTAGGAACTGCAGCGCCGTGCTCTGCTGCCGCATGGCGCCCCTACAGAAAGCACAGGTTGGTCTGATGTCACTTCATGTCTCACATGGGAAACCAGTGAGCGATAGTGGTTAGTCAGTTAGTTAGTTAGCCTGGTAAGTCATTGTGAATAAATTGCCTTCTACTATAATGACCTGGTTAGGCAAGAGGCAGTATTATTTTGGTGTTTAATGAGTTGTGGTATGACTGTTGTCTCTCCAGATTGTGAAGCTGATCAAGGTATCTAAGGAGCACCCCATCACTCTGGCCATCGGTGACGGAGCCAACGACGTCAGCATGATCCTCGAGGCACACGTGGGCATCGGTGAGCTCATCTCTGCACTGATTGGCAAGCTCTTGTGTCTCTACTCTGATTTGTGGGAAACATCAGCTAAGCTAGCACTCATCTCTATTCTTTGATTAGTGGGAGTCATTAGCTCCCAGATATCTCATTGGCGTCAAAACAGACACTAAATATTTCACTAAGACCTATTAGTATGTTTGTTTTCATTCAATCCATCAATCAATCAATCCCTCTCTCTCTTCTAAGGCATCATGGGTAAGGAGGGGCGCCAGGCGGCGAGGAACAGTGACTACGCCATCCCAAAGTTCAAACACCTGAAGAAGATGCTGTTGGTGCATGGACACTTCTACTACATCCGCATCGCTGAGCTGGTGCAGTACTTCTTCTACAAGGTGAGCTTTACTACTGACACTAATACTGGGCATTTACTGGGCACACATTTAAATGGTTTAGTATTGAATGACACAACCTCGGACTCGGCACCACCTCAGCCTGGTGCCTTTCCCAGAAGAGAGAGCCATTTGGTGAGCCAAATGTCGAGGCAGGACACTGCAAGGAGCTGAATGAGCGTTGAATTAGGAACAATGTTCAGTCCTCCCTTTCTCACTTTGTTTCTCCCACTTTCTCTCTCTCTCCAGAATGTGTGCTTCATCTTCCCTCAGTTCCTCTATCAGTTCTTCTGTGGATTCTCTCAGCAGGTAGGTGCTCAGACTCAACCCTAAATGACGGTTGCCTATAACCTATCATGGTTGCCTGTTTTGTCATGTGTGGTCTGTATATTTCTGACTGTGCTCTGTGTGTGTCCCTGTGCAGCCCCTGTACGACACGGCCTACCTGACGCTGTACAACATCAGCTTCACCTCACTGCCCATCCTCCTCTACAGCCTCATAGAGAAACATGTCAGCATAGAGACGCTCAAGAGAGACCCCACTCTGTACAGGTCAGAGGAACATCCCATTAAAACTGTTTTAAAAGACAATGTAATTCCCACACAGAAAAAAAGGTTTGAACCAATTATATTGTTTTTTGTTTGTTTAAACATTCTCTCTTTATCTCCCCTCCTCTCTCCCCCTTCTCTCTCTCTTTCGCCGTCCCAGGGACGTAGCGAAGAACTCTCTCCTGCGCTGGCCTGTGTTCCTCTACTGGACGTGCCTGGGCTTGTTCAACGCCTGTATCTTCTTCTTTGGTGCCTACTTCCTGTTCGACAACACCACCTTCACCAGCAACGGACAGGTGAGCCCTGGCAACCTTTTCTACGGCAACCGACGCAAGCAGAGCTCTGTTGGCAAGGAAGGACCAGTTGACATGTTGCACCTAACCACAGATCAAGGATCAGATGACCAAACCCCAAATCATAAGCATTGACCATTAGCTGGGTGCCATTTGAGATTCACTCACAGTGATGGTTTATAGAACACCCATCCATCTCCATGTGATTGTCCCATAACACCAGACGTTGAAACAGGAGTAATACAATGTGGTCCGTTTCAGGTTATCTATGGGTAAGTTATGGTCAGGTTGTGGTTAATTTGTGTTCATAGTCCAGATGGAATCTCAGTGGTCTTCTTTAGCTTGACAACCATCAGGACTCCATTCATATGGACAACGCTATAGCATCTTTCTCTGTATTGTTGATTTATGTCATAACTGTTTTGTATTGCCTTTGGTCCTGTTTTTTCTCTTTAAGTTGAAACATCCTGGAATTCATTTCCACTTTGTCCTGATTATTTTCTCTTCTTCTTCCTCTTCTGCTTCTTCTTTATTTTTGCTTTACTTCCTGTTCCTCAGCTTATGACCACCAACACACAGATGGTAAGCCTGTATCTCTCCCTCTCTCCCTGTCTCTCTATCTATCATGTTCTTTTAGCTTCTGTTGGTTTTTAGTTACGAGTTTAGCTTTGAGCTTTACCGTTTCATTCCGAAACATCCATCCATCCCCACCTCCGACATCCACCCCATTCTGCCTGTAGTTGTTTAGTTCCACATCTCTAGAGCGCCTCTACCCAGTCCAACACCAGACCTCACCAGCTCCACTCTACTAATATAGATACACTAGTCTCTCCCTAATATTATCCTTATCTGTTGGTAGGATATTTAATTGTGTGTGTGTGTGAGAGAGTGCATGTGTGCGCAGTAGTAGTACATAGACAATGCATTTTGTAAAAAAAAGCAGACTCTCTGCTGTTCTAATAACATGGGTTCATTCTAGCTGCACTGTCTTGGGTGCCCTCTTTCACCCAAACTACATATATGTTCACGTTATCTAGTATTTGTAGAGAGATGTATTTAGTATAGAGAGATTTATTTCTAATTGTCATGCTCCTTGGGTAGGGACATGATTATGGTGATTAGGCCAGGGTGAGCAGTGAGAGGAGGACGGGGTAGTCAGGGATGAGAACATGGGGGTTCCAACTCCTCCACTATGCTAATGAAACGCATCCCTTCTCTCACTCTACCTCTTCCTTCATCTTTCTGACTACCTCTCGCTCCATCTCTCTCTATTGCTTTCTCCTTCCCCTTCTCTCCAAACTCTCCCTCTTGCTCTCCCTCTCCATCTCCATCTCTGACTCTACCTCTCCCTCAATCTATTTTGCTCTCTTCTCTCCTCTCTCTGCCGCGCTCTTCCTCCTCCTGTTCCTTCCTGATGGCAGCTTTGAGGAGAGACCACACCCCCACCCCCTCAAAGAGCAGGAGATGCATCTCTGTATCAGAGAGAGAAATAGAGGGGGATGGCTAAGGAAGAAATGCAGAGTTGATTTGCTCTATTTATATTTTACGTCCTGCTTTTGCGCTCAAGTTTCAAGGTTATTTACCATCATTTGCATAATATGAGACATACAGTGCCTTTGGAAAGTATTCAGACCCCTTGACTTTTTCCACATTTTGTTACGTTACAGCCTTATTCTAAAATGGATTAAATAAATATAAATCCTCAGCAATATACACACAATACTCCATAATGACAACGCGAAAATAGGTTTTTGGAAATTGTAGCAAATGTATTACAAATAAACAACAGAAATACCTTTTTTACATAAGTATTCAGACTCTTTGCTATGAGGCTCGAAATTGAGCTCAGGTGCATCCTGTTTCTATTTATCATCCTTGATGTTTCTACAACTTGATTGGAGTTCACCTGTGGTAGATTAAATTGATTGGACATGATTTGGAAAGGCACACACCTGTCTTTATAAGGTCCCACAGTTGACAGTACATGTCATGAGGTCAAAGGAATTGTCCGTAGAACTCCGAGACAGGATTGTGTCGAGGCACAGATCTGGGGAAGGGTACCAAAAAATGGCTGCAGCATTGAAGGTCCCCCAAGAACACAGTGGCCTCCATCATTCTTAAATGGAAGAAGTTTGGAACCACCAAGACTCTTCCTAGACCTGGCCGCCCGGCCAAACTGAGCAATCGGGGGAGAAGGGCCTTGGTCAGGGAGGTGACCAAGAACCCGATGGTCACTCTGACAGAGCTCTAGAGTTCCTCTGTGGAGATGGGAGAACCTTCCAGAAAGGACAACCATCTCTGCAGCACTCCACCAATCAGGCCTTTATGGTAGAGTGGCCAGACGGAAGCCACTTCTCAGTAAAAGGCACATGACAGCCCGCATGGAGTTTGCCAAAAGGCACCTAAAGACTCGCAGACCATGAGAAACAAGATTCTCTGGTCTGATGAAACCAAGATTAAACACTTTGGCCTGAATGCCAAGTGTCTCGTCTGGAGGAAACCTGGCACCATCCCTACGGTGAAGCATGGTGGTGGCAGCATCATGATGTGGGGATGTTTTCAGTGGCAGGGACTGGGAAACTAGTTAGGATCGAGGGAAAGATGAACGGAGCAAAGTACAGAGAGATCCTTGATGAAAACCTGCTCCAGAGCACTCAGGACCGCAGACTGGGGGCGAAGATTCACCTTCCAACAGGAAGGTTTTTGCTTTGTCATTATGGGCTATTTTGTGTAGATTGAGGGGAAAAAAACGATTTAATAAATGTTAGAATACGGCTGTAACGTAACAATGTGGAAAAAGTCAAGGGGTTTGAACACCTTCTGAAGGCACTGTACGTAAATAGGATGCCATACAAATAACAGTAAAATACTGTATATAAACTGAGTTTACAAAACATTAGGAACACCTTCTCTTTCCAGGTGAAAGCTATGATCCCTTATTGATGTCACCTGTTAAATCCACTTTAGTCAGTCTAGATGAAGGGGAGGAGACAAGTTAAAGAATATATACAGTGTGTATGTATGTATATATATATATATATATATATATATATATATATATATATATATATATATATATATATATATATACTTGGAATCAATGTATCGATATATAATATCTTCTAAGATAGTAATTATACAGTATATAATTTTTTTTGCTAGGTAGCGTTAGCTAGCAATAGTTGGCTGTACCTGTGTCAACTCCTGTATTTTTCATCCTATAGCTTGTTCTCCATCTTTAAAAAAAATAGTGAGCCAACATGTTTTCAGCACTTTTATTCCCATAACTGATCAAAACAAATGTTCTCATGCTTTCTCGTCTCTCTGCAGCAGACGTATACAAAGCAATACGTTTGGAACATCAAATCGCAATAATATTGCAGTATCAAATCGCAATACATGCAGTGCCTATCATAAGTATTCACCCCCCTTGGATTTTTTCACATTTTGTTGTGTTACAAAGTGGGAATTAAATGGATTTAATTGTGATGTTTTGTCACTGATCTACACAAAATACTCCATAATGTCAAATTAATAAAAAATAACAAATGTTTTAGTTGCATAAGTATTCACCACCTTTGATGGCAAGCCTAAATAAGTTCAGGAGTAAAAATGTGCTTAACAAATCACATAATAAATTGCATTGGCTATCTCTGTGTGCAATAATAGGGCTTAAAATATTTTTTTCATGCCTCGTTAAGAAGAGCACCGATTTGGTAGCTGTATTAAAATAAAAAAAGCAGACACAGAATATCCCTTTGAGCATGGTGAATCTATTAATTACACTTTGGATGGTGTATCAATACACCCAGTCACTGCAAAGATACAGGAGTCCTTCCTAACTGAGTTGCCGGAGAGAACGGAAACCGCACAGGGTTTTCATTATGAGGCCAATGGTTAATTTAAAACAGTTCCAGAGTTTAATGGCTGTGATAGGAGAGAACTGAGGATGGATCAACAACAGTGTAGTTACTCCACAATCCTAACCTAAATGACAGAGTGAAAATAAGGAAGCCTGTACAGAATACAAATATTCCAAAACATGAATCCTGTTTGCAATATGCAGTAAAGTAAAACTGAAAAATAAATTAACTTTTTGTCCTGGATACCAAGCGTTATGTTTGGGGCAATTCCAACATATCTCTGAGTATCACTCTCCACATTTTCAAGCATGGGGAAAGGGGATACCTAGTCAGTTGTACAACTGAATGCATTCAACTGAAACGTGTCTTCCGCATTTAACCCAACTCCTCTGAATCAGAGCGGTGCGGGGGGCTGCCTTAATTGACGTCCACGTCATCGGCGCCCGGGGAGCAGTTGTTGGGGGTTAATTGCCTTGCTCAAGGGCAGAACAGCATATATTTCCACCTTGCCGGCTCGGTTAATGGCCCAACGCTCTTAACCACTAGGCTACCTTCCGACCCTGGTGGTGGCTGCATCATGTTATGGGTATGCTTGTCATCGGCAAGGACGGGAGTTTTTCAGGATAAAATTCAACAGAATGGAGCTAAGCACAGGAAAAACTGGTTCAGTCTGCTTTCCACCAAACAATGGGAGAGGAATTCACCTTTCAGCAGGACAATAACCTACAACACAAGGCCAAATATACACTGGAGTTGCTTACCAAGGAGACTGAGTTACAGTTTTTACTTAAATCGGCTTCAGAATCTATGGCAAGACTTGAAAATGGCAGTCTAGCAATGATTAACGACCGACTGGAAGAATTTTGAAAAGAATAGCCAAATATTGTACAATCCAGGTGTGCAAATCTCTTAGAGACTTACCCAGAAAGACTCACAGCTGTAAACACTGATAAAGGTGTTTCTAACCAGTATTGACTCAGAGGGGTGAAATACTTATCTATTCAATACATATTAGTTGTATTTTTTTTTTTATGATGGAATTTTTCTTCCACTTTGACATTATAGAGTATACTGTGCAGATCATTGACAAAGATTACAATTAAATTGATTTTAATTCCACTTTGTAACAATAAAATGTGAAGAAATCCAAGTGGGGTGAATACTTTATAGAATCGTGAGAATCGCAATACATCGTATCGGCATAATGTCGTATCATGAGGTCCCTTGCAATTCCCAGCACTAAAATGCAGGTGAAATGGAAATTGCTTGTTTTAGGATCAAACGTTACAGGGTTTAGGGTTGTAATACAGTCATTATAGTTGGTGCTCTGTGCTCATATAGGTGTGAATGGTTTTAAAGAAGTCGATGGTTTCAACAGATGTCTCCCTGGAAAACTGATCTTTATCTCAATGGGATTATGTGTATAGATAAAGAATGGATGAAATGCAGTGTGTGCATGATGAGATGGACTGTTCCTCCTCTCTATTCTCCTCTAGATGTTTGGAAACTGGACCTTCGGGACTCTCGTCTTCACTGTGCTGGTGTTCACTGTCACGCTCAAGGTGGGTTAGTGTGTGTGTGTGTGTGTATGTGAGTGTTTGTGAAAGAGAGAAACTGAGTGAATCTGATAATAGTGGATTGCATAATCCCTTTGCATGTGTGTGTAGCCTGTGTGTGAGATATTTGATCGAGTAGACTTGCTCATCAGTCATTAGAGCTGTATGCCCTGCAGGTGTGGCGATTGATTGATGGACTGATTGTGTGTGTGTGTATCCTGTGTGTTGCAGCTTGCCTTGGACACACACCACTGGACCTGGATCAATCACTTTGTCATCTGGGGCTCCCTGCTTTTCTATGTCATCTTCTCACTGCTCTGGGGAGGCATCATCTGGTACGCCTCTCATTCTTACAACTAACTGATTCTTACTCTGTACATTATTAGTATCACTTAAACATAGATATAGAATAACTGGATGTCATCTCTCCCTCTCATCAGGCCCTTCATGAACTACCAGAGGATGTACTACGTGTTCATGCAGATGTTGTCCAGCGGTCCGGCCTGGCTTGGCATCATCCTTCTCATCACAATCAGCCTGCTGCCTGACGTGGTCAAGAAGGTCCTCTGCAGAACCCTGTGGCCCACCGCCACCGAACGCGCACAGGTAGGAAGGACCGCAACTTGACCACAGCTCAGGAAATACGAGCGCACCAGTGAATTAAAGGATTATTCGTCTGCAGCCACAATATGTACAGTAGATAAGTACTGTAGGCCTACCTGTAAAATCACATATAAATAAGACCAAAAGTATCCAGGTATAGCTGCCTCTGATATGCCAGACAACTCATTGTACTAAAACCCCTAATACACTGAGCAAAAATATAAATGCAACATGCAACAATTTCAAAGATTTTACTGAGTTACAGTTCATATAAGGAAATCAGTTAATTGAAATGAATTCATTTGGCTCTAATCTATGGATTTCACGTGACTGGAAATACAGATATGCATCTGTTGGTCATAGATACCTTAAAAAAAGGTAGGGAAGTGGATCAGAAAACCAGTCAGTATCTGGTGTGACCACTATTTGGCTCCTTCAGCGCAACACATCTCCTTCGCATAGAGTTGATCAGGCTGTTTTATTGTGGCCTGTGGAATGTTGTCCCACTCCTCTGTGCGAAGTTGCTGGATATTGGCGGGAATTAGAACACGCTGTCGTACATGTCGATCCAGAGCATCCTCAATGGGTGACATGTCTGGTGAGTATGCAGGCCATGGAAGAACTGGGACATTTTCATCTTCCAGGAATTGTGTACAGATCCTTGCGACATGGGGCCGTGCATTATCTTGCGGAAACATGAGGTGATGACGGCAGATGAATGGCACGACAATGGGCCTCAGGATCTCGTCACGGTATCTCTGTGCATTCAAATTGCCATCGATAAAATACAATTGTGTTCGTTGTCCGTAGCTTATGCCTGCCCATACCATAACTCCACCGTCACCATGGGATACTCTTTTCACAACGTTGACATCAGCAAATCGCTCGCCCACATGAAGCCATACACGCTATCTGCCATCTGCCCGGTACAGTTGAAACCAGGATTAATCCGTGAGGAGCACACTTCTCCAGTGTGCCAGTGGCCATCGAAGGTGAGCATTTGCCCACTGAAGTCGGTTACGACGCCGAACCGCAGTCAGGTCAAGACCCTGGTGAGGACAACGAGATGAGCTTCCCTTTCTGATATTTGTGCAGAAATTCTTCGGTTGTGCAAACCCGCAGTTTCATCAGCTGTCCGGGTGGCTGGTGGTCATGTTTACATAGCATACAAAGCTACTCCCCTTAAGATAAATGATTAACATATTTTAGTGCCACTCTACCCTTATCTTTCAACGTCCAGATGTCACATGTTGTTTACTCCAAAAGACCATGGGCGCTTTTCCATATGGCCTCTTCCTCTTATCCATTAAAGCATGTTTACACATTGTATTGACTATATTCCTTATTTAGACATGCATCTGGATTTATAAAATGTCAATCATGTTTACTATATTTTATCTTTGACATTTCCCAACATTTTCCTTAATGATACATAAAATATTACCATATAATCCCCCCTTTGGGACATTCCAACAATGTCCCAAATAATACAAAAATTAATTTTAGAATGAATGTAAGCATGCGCATTTACTTATTCTTAGCCTTGCCATTTGTGGTTTCATTTTACACGCATATATTTAAACCAATATATCTTCCTCATTACTTGACCCATCCTGATGAGGACCCAGAGCCCAGTCAGGTATTGGATACAAGTTTGGAAGGTTTTCCTCTAAATTAACCTCCAAGTTTTTCTATTAGGCTTTGTAACCATGGCAGGCCCATCCACCCCCAGGAACAACTTCATACAAACATTCAGGATTCCCAAATTCCCAAAATGTCCCATATTCATTTACCTACGGTCCTGGAGCTCCCTGAACTGGGTGTATTTCTTTATAAACATTGCTCCCCACTTTTTGTTTAGTTATAGCATTTCCCATATATGTTAGTATCCTATCACATCAACATATGCAACTTTGTCTTAACAATAATATCTAGGACATGTTAAGAATGGTGTAAATATCTTTAGCTTACATAACCTTTTTCACCCATATCACAAGTTTTATAACAATCAAAATAATCCATATCAATATCTAATCCATTAATTGCAATGTCAACATCACTAAGCATTAATATTAATAAGTTATTCAGATCAATCAGTCCACTTATAATTTATAATCATAATCAAATTAATAACCCAAAACAACTTTGGAATGACAATTCTTAGTTAGTCACCTTTGTTCCATCATTCAAAGTTAAAACTCTCACCTTGGCACATATTGACACTGGCAGAATGTATGTTTATATTATAATAATTCTAGCATTAACTTCCTCATAACGAGAATTACAACAGATCAGTATCTCAATGCATTCCTAGTCCAAATTACTATAAATGTAGTAGTGTATAATACCTCCTTAATCAACATACTACCTCAACTAACAGACCCTTCCTCTACCGGCACTCAATCCTCTGGCGTCTTCATTATGTTCTTCAGATAGCTTCATAGTTCATCTTGGATTACCCATGGCAATGTCCCAATTCCAATGTCACACCTGAACCGCCCCACCTCCACCATCATTCTGTTTTGTCCATTTGCAAACCAGTATACCCAAACTAGGAAGAACGTTGCATTTGCATAGACCTCTCTCCTCCTGCTCACTCCACATGGACTCCTGTCACATTCTTGAGAGAAAAGGCACAAAAGAGAAGGCAATTGATCGCTTTGATTTGATGCTGGATTCAGTTCTCCTGGCAGAGGTGGTGTCGGACAGGAACTTCTTCACCGCCTTTGTTGTTCTCTTCAGCCGGGTAGAGGGTTTTTGGTTTTTATTGAGGTTTTACACCGCTCTGGACCGAATTATCTCTGCTATGCATTACGACACCATCCGTAGTAACCTCAGGAAAGGACAGATCATAACAGTTTAGTTGAGTTAATTTCCAATCCAAAACATCCCTATTAACATTGTCTACATGACAAATCATTATGTTTCATCACTCATTCTTAATACCCATTTCTATCTAATGCCTGATAGATTTTTCTTTGAGGGGTCCCTGTATTCCAAAGGCTATCTGTTTAAACACCCACTATTTTCACATTCTCCCTTGAATTCTCCCAAACTATATAACCCAATTGTTTTACTTTAACATTCCTATATTTTTGCTCATAATCTATTTGACATTACTCTGGTGTTTCCCTTTTCCTTGTTCCTATTCTAACAATTGCTTACACTTCTCTCCTCATCCTGGTTGATCATAAAATTGTTTATAGTTCTAAATATTACAAAAGTTATGATTGAATCCTAGCAGACAGTCCTAGTAACTGTAAAGATGTTGAACTACTGTTAACTATTTAAAACGGAGATGTGGTGCATATTAGACTATTTTCTTTTATTTAATTTTAATGCAATATATTGTACTCATCTATACCAATCATTGTTTAACGGCTCCTTCAATTCCCTTTCTTCTGTATTTGGTATGGCTCTAACATGTACAGGGTTCAGTGCACTTTCCCAAGGAATAACTACTCCAATAACACTTCCCCCTGGAAATCTAACACTAAATACTACATCAAATTGTTTATCTAAGTCTTGGACTGTTCTCCTTATGTCTATGATTCACCTGTCTCTTTCTTTCATTATCTTAAGGTCACACTACCCCATGTGACTTCCCCATACTCTTTGTGCTGGTTCCTCACACACCAAAAATATTTTAACCCTTGCATTTTAATAGTGATCCCTTCCTGCATTTTAGTTATGGTTCCTGCCTGTGCAAGAATATACATTCTAATCCTGTCTATATCCCTTCTATGTCTTGTTCTTCTGCTCTCTACTATTATCAGTACCCCATTCCCCTTATTTTCAGGGAACTAGTCAAGTACAGAGAAATCAATTATGAGGATTTCTGGTGCGTCTTGGAGGTCTTGAAAGTCTCGGTGGTCTCTTAGTCATCAGTTCCCTCACTCTGGTACAATGGTTTAGATCAGGGTTCTTCAATTCCGGTCCTGGAGGGCCGAAACACCTCTGTTTTTCATCCTCTCCTTCTAATCAGGTGCTAATTCAGACCTGGGACACCAGGTGAGTGCAATTAACTACCAGGTAGAAATAAAAAACAGAAGTGTTTCGGCCCTCCAGGACCGGAATTGAAGAACCCTGGTTTAGATGATACCCGATCACGCTCCCCTATATCCGTACCGCTGTTGGTGTAACCTGGACGACGATGTATGATCACTTTAGCTGTTAACCTTCTTCCATCACTAGGGTCTCCGGATCAGCCAGAGTCCCTCTCAATCTATCGACATCGGTCTGCGAAGAGTGTCCTTCAATCAGCCTACCCATAGGGAAGCTCAGAGTTACTGCTGCAAAGACACAAACACAGACACACACAAAAAACAACAATGCTACCCAATGGCTGAGGTTGGAACACTCCTATAGTGGGAAACATGGATCTGTCTCCACCACTTTTACCATCATTAAGATAGCCAACAACACCTGGTACAGGCCCCTCCACATAGGGTATTTTCAGCTCTTTCTTCTGTAGTCTTTTGCCATCACATAGTCTCCAGGGCGCAGAGAATGCTCAGACTCTCCTACTTAGTTGGGCAGAGTTATCTTCACCCATGAAAATAAAATCTTAAGAGCATTGTTAGGTTAAGTGAGACACAGTATGCTACTCATGTCCTCTCATCCGTCAAGAGAAGCCTTGAGATTATGAAGCACACCTGCTTCCAGCTTGTTGTAGTCCACTTATTTCATAGACAGACCACCTCTACACCATGCCTCCTATCACAAAAACAAAAAAGATTTAACCTAACCCATAACACATTATTACTACTGCTCATATCCTTAATACACCTTGCATATTTCCCCACAAAACCATTATAAAACATTAAAACCTCTGTAAGCCCAACTTCCCCCCTTGGACACATGCATCACATCGTGATTAATGTGTTCAAAAAACAAAACAACAACAATATTGCCTATCAAACCGAAAATAATAACTAACCTTAAAATGACAACCCTTGAGCATATCTTTACTTAACTGTATCCCATAACACTATTCAAGG